GTGCGGATGATGAGCGAGTAGATGACGTCTGTTTCCCCCGGGCCGTCAGCGGAGCCCCCGTCGTGGCGGCGGATCACCCCGGGGCAGAAGTCAATGGCCCACTCGCCGTTCTCTGCAGGACAGGAGCGCGCTCAGCCCGCTCTCCGAGGCGGGGCGCCCTGCGCTGCTCCCCGGCTGTCCACCTGGCGGGAACCGAACTCCGGACTGAGGAGGAGGATGCAGCTGTCTGGACCAGGGTGGGCTGCTTGGGCCATGGGGCGTCAGGATGGGGGCGATTCGGGCAGAAAGGGGCCTTCCTGGTGAGGGTATGGAAAGGCCACAGCGAGGAGGCAGGACTAGGATGATGCTCGGGGATGATTTCAGGAAAGGGGCGAGCTAAAGCCCGTTTTACCAGTCAGTCCCCGGTATCGCTGTTCTGGGACAACCTCACAGAGTCCCCACTGGGCCCCGTCTAGAAGCAGGAGGGGGCTTCACCAGTATAGGCAGCAGTGTCGATATCGATCTTGTTGACGGTCTCGCCATTGTCGTCCACGGCAAAGACGAACTCCACCTCCTCGGCATTGTACGTCTGAGAGCTGCGGACCCAGGGCCCCACCCCACCCCAGAGGCTGGGACCTGGGCCCCAGCCTCAGGCCCCGCCCTGGAAGCACGGATCTTGCAAAGGTTCCACTCCTGGGCCTCAGCCCGCCAGCGCGTCTCGCTTTCTTACCCACTTAGAACCCGGCTCTGGCGGCCCAGCCCTTCGCAACGTCTGGCCCCGCCCCCAGCGCAAAGCCCCGCCCCAGGGATTTCACTTTTCCCCTCTGGCTCCTGCCCCTGCTCCAGGCCCCTCCCATCATCATCTGGGGCGACCCAACTCTTCCCACCGGAAAATGAGCGAGCAGTTCTGCCAGTCGAAGGGGAAGTAGGTGACCTCCACGGCGCAGGTGCTGCGGTAGATGGCCGGGGGCAGCCAGCTCACGGCGCCGCCCTCGTAGACCAGCACGTTGGCGGCGTAGTTGACATCGAACTGGCCGTCAATACTGTGGGCTCCCCCGAAGCTGAACTTAAGCATGGGTCGCCACCCCGGCCCCAGCCAAGTCCAGCCTAGCCCTCTGGCCACCCTTCTTCCCTCCAGGCTGGCGGCCCGCCGGGTCCTCACTTGTTTTCCAGCACAATCTCTGGTAGCCATACGTGTTCTGAAGGCACTCGCAGGGTCTCTATGCCCCCGAAGTCGTCCTTGCTGTAGTTGAGTCGGTAATCATACCAATCCTTAAGGGGAGGGGACGGAAGGACGTGTGCCAGGCATCTGCCACTTCGGGCTGCCCCAGAAAGCTTGGAAGAAAGGGGTCCCCTAGGCAAGGGCACCTCACCCTGTTCCCCAGATTTGACTCACGATTCCAATCCAGACGCTGGTGGTGAGGGTCTCCTCTTTCTCATTCTGCAGATGGGAGATTGGGAGGTTTGAAGCAGGATTTCCGGGTCAGAGCAAGGTTTAGGATGGACCTCAGCATATGGGGCCCAAAGCAGGATTTTTAGGTCTAGCAAGGGTCTCCGGGGATTGGGGTATCTTACCAATGAGATGAGGTTGGTCAGCGTGACCTTGAGGGTGATAGTGACAGTGTCTTCAGGGGCCCTCACTGGCCGGCCTTCTCTGTCATAGTTGTCAAAGAGATGGTTATACAGACGCAGCTCCTCGTTCCCCTCGCCTCTGCCTGGGGTGGGGTCAGGAAGGAAGGGTCACTGAGATGAAGAGGTCGGACGCCTTCCCTCCCCGTCTGCTCAGGTCTCCGAGGCTGTGTATTTTATGGTGTCTCCTGAACCAATAATAATGAGCCTGGGGACCAAACGTCGTCTCAGTCTCCATCTTAGTCTCTGTCATTGCCCTTGTCCCCGTATGTCGGAATCTGTGCGTGTGTGTCCGACTGCTTCCCCGACCTCTGTCCATACCGAGGAGCCCCAGGAGGAGCAGGGTGCCGAGCAGAGCGCCCGCCATCCTGCCGTCTGCGTCTCGGGGTTATTCTGAGCTTGGCAGGCTTGGAGGGTGCAGGCCAGGGTGTGTGTGTTGTCAGGAGGAGGGTGTTAGTTCCGGACTGCGTTAAGGGACTGTCACCTTATCCTCTACCCACCCCTGCTGCAGCTGGGGACATCTTGGCTGCTTCCAGGAGCAGCTGCCCCGTCCTGTGTTCCCTGCCCACCCCATCCCAGCATCCTTTGCCTGGTCTTCAGCCAGCTCCCCGGCCACGGAGCAGAGCCTCTGGTGAGAGCTGCAGGCTCCAGTAACACCTGGAGCCACAAACCTGGCAGCCGGACGTGCGGGATGGGCTTCCAGCGCGCTCAGGTGTCCTCTGAGTAGGCTGCCCTGTGGAGGTGACTCTGCTTGATGGACACACTTGGGGATGTGACACGCCCTGCCTCTCTTATGCACCCATGCGGCACCCATTATCACCACTCAGTCTGGCCAAGGTCGCTGCCAGCAGAGTGTGACAAAAATCAGTCTCCATAGAGACCTGGCAATGAGACAGGTGGTTACATGGGGATGGCCCGCAGGAACAGACTCCACCTGGCAGAGGAGACCGTGTCACAACACAAGGCCCACCTCTCCTTCCACAACGGGATCCGCATGTCTGCCCAGTCATAGCCCCCTCAGGGTGAGCAACCGCCCAGCTGGGTTTTATTTCCCTTGCCTCCCCCTGCTGCCACCTTGTGGCTACAGCTGGTAGTGCTATCTCCTCTCTACACCCTGCCGTCCCCAGCTTGATGACACACCTTAATTGATCTTTCCAGGGTTCCTTTATTGAGACGAGAAAGCACATGCAAGAGAGACCGCCTCGATGAGGTTCAACAAGTCTCATTGTGGGATCCCCTCCCCAGCCTCCCTGGCCAATCAGAATCCCCAGCATTCACAGGCCAACCAGGGAACAGAACTCAAAACCTTCATCTGGATCATCTTCCATAGGGATCCTGTGTTACAGGTGCCACCATGCTCATCCGCTTCAGTGTTTCTTTTCTTCTTTTTTTTTTTTTTTTAGTATTTTTGTTTTAGTTTTTTTTCCCATAGGGCCTGTGCCCTTGTCAGAGGGAGACAGAAAGAGGGAAAGTGAGAAATCACCCCCACCCCAGGGGAGATGGCCACTCTGAATTATCCTACTGGGATTTTAGGCATGCACACACACACGCCCACCTGATTTTCAAGCCACCAGGTCCAGGACTCGATCCATGGTCTGCCATGTGGGAGTCCAGTTGTCTTAACCACCATGTCACCTGCTGGCCCCACCCCTTTGGAGTTATTTTAGTTTAGTTTTTTTAGAGGACTTTGCTTTAGGGATGTGCACTTGGTGGGGGGGAGACAGACAGTGAGAGGGAAAGTGAGAAATCCTCCCCAGGGGGAATGGCCGCAATCCCATCTCCATTATCCTTCCAGGATCTCGGGCTAATTTGACCAGAGAGAGAGAGAGAGAGAAAATGAGAAAGCAAGCCACCAGGACTCGAACCACGGTTCGAGCGAAAACCTCTTCAAAAAAAAAAGTAAAAGAAAAAAGAAAAACACTTAGGGTGCATGTGCGTGAA